CTCTGATTCTCACAGGAATTCTCTGAAACCAAACGATAGTGTGCGTTTGGAAGGTCAGTTTGTCCACTGTGAGCCAGAGAGGAGGCTCCCTTCCCTATGAGCTGTAGCACCCGACGCCCCAGCCACTAGGAGAATGTAGCTGTGATGGACCCAGGATGGAGCCTTGGCAAACAAGCCCTAGGAGGATTTCTTCCACACCTAGCTAAAGAGAACACCGAGCCCTGCTGACTCAAAGTGACCATGCTAACTTTCCATGAGAAAGACACAGGTCAGCATCCTTGGGCCTCTGTGATCCTCTTGGTGGGCTATGCTCTTAGGGGCTTCCCTAGTCCACTGGGTGGGGTCTGAGTATTGGGCACTCATGATTACCAAGTGGTCCAGGCATGGTGAAGCCAGACTTCCCTGGGAATCCTGACATCTCATCACAGTGGCTCCAGCCAATAAGCTGGAAAACACTGCAGAATGAGATCACCCAGTGCCAGACACACACAGGGTATAAGCAATGCCCCCGCCCCCCTGAGAAAGCCCTGCACCTTGGAATCAACAGGCACCGGCAGTTTCTGAGCCCTGCTTGGCTCTTGGGAGTTCCTTCCAGCCCAGCCCAGAGGCAAATTCACTGTGTTGCCAGCTGTGTCTCCCAAACCCTCATGACATTGCAAACCCCATCCACATGGCCCTAAGGCAGGAAGAACAGAGCTGTGTCTCCACTAAGGATGGCTGGATGCCCCCCTCCCCCAGTCCAGGTTAGGGCAGAGCAGTTAGCTGACAGCTACACCCCACATGTCTCCCATGACAGGGACAAACATAAGGCCTTTAGGTTTCAGATGCGCTCAGGAGGCCCCATTGAGAGCTGTGACCTTGGCCTGGGATTCTAAGGCACTGGATGCCCCCTCTTGACTCATGTGAGGAGTTTGGGCTACCCAGGCAACATGCACTGTTGTCAGATGCAGCATATAATGTGTATGGTACTTATATCCAACAATGCAATCTTACAACAACACACCCTTCCAATCTCATGTGCTCCCATGCCAGACAAACTCAGCAACATGTACATCAGTTATCAGAGCGAGAAATCACTGAGAGCCTTTTCCAGGGGCCCTCTGTGCAGCCTCTCTACCATGTGGTCCAGTATCAGGAGGTCCAACACAACTGGTACCTGTTCATAGGCTTGTGTCATCTATAAGACACTTTTCCTATCTCAAAAACTTCTACTTGAACTTCAATACCCCAATCCTACCTGCCCTCCTCTTCCTCATCTTCTGGTGGCTTTTTTCTCATGACAATAGACCATCTGTTACTTGGAGACAACTTCTCACCTTTCTGCCTGCCTTGCTTCTGTCCTGATTCCTTGTTCAATTTATTCTACATCGACGATCTCATGTGATTTCTTGTATCACACACTCTAATGGTCACCTCAAACCCAGAATAAAAGAGCTTGAAAGGCCCTAGCTAGCAGGACTCCAACAACTGCCCAAGCCCCAGAATCCCCTATAGTCTCTCTTCCCAGCCAGTTCCACCCCAGACCATGGACCCGAGACCCTCACTCCCCGAATCCTTATCTCTGAGATGTCCTGAGCTATAGGCAAACAGTGTCCTTTCTCTGCAATGTCTGCCTCCCTTGCAACTCTTCTCATAAGGGTTGCCTGGGGCTTGCCACACCTACAGCCAAGAGAGCTGAAGCATGGCTCCACACAGCTCCTGCAGACCCCAAACCTTCTCCAGATACTACTCCCAAAGAGAGGAGCACAGGAACCAACAGAATGACATTTAAAACAGTTCAAGGAGCCGTGAGAACAAGGGCAACAATGAGTAAGGGCGTGAGTTTGAGGCGTAAATACACTCCATGGAGCCACAGTGCCTCTCGTGGAGTAGGGCCCGCACAGGTCCAGACTCGATGACCCTGAACAGAGCAAACATGTCCCTCGGGGCGCCTGGGTGCAGTGTATGTCTGGCCTTCTTCCTGCAGGCCTGCAAAGGTGCCCTCTATACCCCAGCATAGAGGCAAGCAGTCTGATGCTAGGCTGTGTTCCCATGCCTGGGAGCAGCTGAGAGATGTGTTGTTTTACAGTTGCTTCAACACGGTGGACATTCATAAAATTAATTTGCTAAGCAAGGAGATAAATCCAATCCAGTGTTCCCATGGCAACACCTCCCATGCTGCCCAATTTCAGTCTTGGGATTTTATGGGAAGCCATCCTTCCTGGTCCAGCTGCTTCCCTGGACACTCAGGGCCCAAGAATGGGGGGTGGGGTGGGGGTTGGGGTTGGCAGCTTAAATTGAGGAATGCAGGTCTGGAATCTGAGCTGCTGGGAACTCACTTCTCCCGCCCAGCTCCTGCTCCACTCCTCTTGGGTTTTCCTGGAGAGCTGTGGGAGACCTTGGATCCCGATGAGGTCACCCATGCCTCCAGGTCCTGGCAGGCCCAGCCCAAGCCCATGGTACCCCCACTGGGAGGTGAGCCAGAATCTGTGTCCTGCCAAACACAGGCCAAGACCCAGCAAAGACTCCGTCCTGTCTCAAGGGCTCCTGGCCCAGGGTAGCCCACCCTAGGCTGCACACAGAGGGACAAGGCGGTGCGGGTGACACAGCAGGGGTGAGCTCAGAAGGCCGTGGGGCCCTGCACCACCCCGCTGTGCCTTCCACCTTTGTGTTCTAGGCGCCTGGCTCCCACCAGTGGGCGTGCCTGCAGGAGGCACACCCAGCTCCGGCCCTGTCTGCTGAGTGTTTTCTAGAAGCTCTGAGGATCAGGTATCTGAGAGGTTGGCAAGCTTCCCCATCCAGCTCAAGGACAGCTGGTATGAATACAGCAATGAGAAAGAAGTTCCGTGGCCTCTGAGGGCTCCATCCTGCAGAGATCCCTGTGGAGCCCCAAAACTGGCCACCCAATGCCCTAATCTGCCAGTGTGACATCCTGTAGCCCTCAGAGCTCTGAGGCTCAGGGACAGGTAGAGACACCCCCCCACACACAGCCACTGGGGACAGAGGATAAGGATACAGGGATGTGGGCTTCACATCTATGCTTCCCAGGACTTCGGTACCCTCCTCCAGCTGATAAGGACGCAGTTTACAAAACAATTTCAGGAAATCCACACTAGGAAAATGTGACAACTACAGAATGAGGCTGTGAGACTTGGGGGTAGGGGTGGGGGCAGCCCAGGAGTGAGGGAAACAGGAGACTTCACGCCTCAAGGAGTGGGGCTCAGACACAGCAGCTGGGCATGCCTGCCCACATCCCAGAGGGTTTAACCCTGGATGCACATCTGGCTTAGATGTGGCCGCAGCTTCCCCCTGAGCCATGTGAATAAGCTTCAAGGCCCCCGAGGCACATTCTGGTTCTAAGCGGCTCTGATCCCCACAGACCTGGGGTCTGTGGGTTGACTTGCCACATTCAGCTAATCACAGAGGAAGAAGGGGGGGGGGCAGGGAAGCCACGTTGCCAAGGAGACCACTTCAAACACATTTTATAAGGTTGTGAAAACTATACCTTCCCCTGGGGTTGGGTTACATCTCAGAGGCCTAGACAATACGCTGTTCATGTGAACAAGGCCCAACCTCTCGGTCATCTCCAATGAAGGGGGAAGATGATTGATGTTGAGGCCACCCTGGGACACAGTAGCCTTCTTGGAAACCTTTCTGCATTGAGGACATTGGGGCCTTACAGAGAAGCTGGTCCCAGTCCAACCCTACTGCCTAAGATTCCCCCGCCAGGTATCCCAGCAGTCCACACACAGCTCAAACAGCAGATCCTTCTGGATGATCAGGGGGCACCCTGAGGTCAAATCTCACACCTTCACCAGAGAGACATGAGGAGAGGGAGGGACACATGGCAGAGCAGGGCATAACCAAACTGTTTATAGAGTGAGACTCTGTTTCAAAAAGCCAAAGAGAGGGTGGGGAAAACAGCTCAGTAAGTGAAGTGCTTACCATAAAAGCATGAGGACCTGAGTTTGATCCCAGCATCACATAAAAAGTCGGGGGAAAGTGGCATATCCTTGTAAGCCCAGGATTAGGGACATAGGGACGAGAGGGTCATTGGGACTGCCTAACTTCCCTCCTGCCACTGGTGTTCTTCCTCCCCTCTTTTCCCCTCATTGAGACAAGGTCACCCCAATCCTCCTGTCTCAATCTCCCAAGTAGTGTGTGATATTCACAGGTGTGTATCACCACACACAGCACACCTGCATTTCTCAACCAGAAGACGGGCTCCAATACACACTCAGAGCAGCACCACTCTGGGGCCAGTCATGACTAAACACACAAAGGTTCAGAACAGAGGACTTTCAGAACTAGGGGGCACAGGAGACAACGCTGGGGATAAGGCTAAGGCCAGATGCCCTCAAGACGGGCATCCTGGAAGTTCTGCACAGTTCCCACTCGGATGTCAGCCATCACTCTGGCTCTTAGAGCCTGAAAACCAACTGTGTTCCTCTGGACAATTTGTCAGATAGATGTCTCTAACATGACTGCATCTTTCTTTCTAAAATGATCAGGGGTAGCCTCTTATGCCTTGCGTCTGTGTGAATTCAAGACCACCACATGCGCGCGCGCGCACGCACACACACACACACACACACACACACACACACACACAGAGGTTACAGTGCAAAGGCTCTGGCTTCAGCCTATACACAAGCCTGAGTCTTGGGGACTAAGGCGCTGGGATGCAGGAAGTGGCCTCATTCTAGTCTTGACCAGAACAGTCATTTGCTCTATGCATGGTTCTAGTCTTCTCCCCATTTCACAGGTGCGTGTGCGTGCATGTGTGTGTGTTATGCAATGCCACCACACCTGGCACCATTTTAAGAGTTACTCTTTTTATCTCAACAGCAGACAACCGGGGGCAGAGGTGTGAGGCTATCGCCCCCACTGTCCCATGTGGGCAGCTGTGGGAGGAGGTGGGGGCTGGGGTGGTGAGGGAGTACAGAGCAAGCCAAAGCAGCACTGGCTTCCACTCAGGCATGCCCAGAGCCCCTTGGTACCAACAGCCGCCTAGGACTCACCTCTGTGATGATATAGAAGTCATCCCCAGGCTCCCCCTGAACGACGATTTTCTCTCCATCTTCAAACTGCACAGGCTCCAGGGCATCAGCTACAGTCAGGCGTTCCCACTTCTCCAGGGATTCTGCAGGAAGACGCAAGGGGTCACAGGTCACACCTCGCTATCATGGGGCCTCCATTGCTCTTTACATTATTTATTGAGGCAGGGTCTCTCAATTAAATACAGAGCTCACTGATATGACTAGCCTCTTGCTCATCAGCTTGCTCCTCCCATCACCACCTCCAGAGACTTGAATAATAGGCAGGCTTCCACACCCACCCAGAATTTATATGGGTGCTGGGTTCCAAACTTCAGTCCTCATGCTTATACAGCAAGGACTGTAACCACGGAGTGACCTCCCCAGATTCGTGTTTGTTTTGAGACAAGGCCTCACTCTATATTCCAGGTTGGGCTTGAACTCACTGTGTGATGGTTAGTTTCAGCTATTAATTTAAATAATGAGGATAATCTGGAAAGAAAGTCTCAGCGAGGGATGGTCTAAATCAGGTTGGACAGTGGACAGTCTGTGGAGGATTGTCTTAATTCCTTAATGGATGTGTGAAGATCCAGCCTGGATGGGTACCATCTCCTAGTTGGGGATCTTGGACTGTGTAAGAGTAGAGAGGGCCGGCTGAACACTAAGCATTCATGCCTTTATTCTGTCTCTGTCTCTGTTGTGGATGTGATGTGACCAGCTGTCTCAGGTTCCTGACACCAGGACTTCTCCACGAGAAGCTCTACCCCAGAACCGGTTCTCCCCCAAGTTGCTTCTTGTCAGGGTGTTTTTCATCACAGCAACAGAAATGAAATGAGGACTTACTGGGTAGCCCTGGCTAGCCTCACTGAATGCTGGGTTTACAAGCTTGAGCCATCATGACCATCTCTGTTGTTGTGATACTCAGAAAGGACACGCCCACCACTAGTTTGGGCAAAGCCACTTAAATCTGATGCTGAGTTAGTCTGTAAATGCTTAGAAATGCCACAGGCCGCTGCTGCCTTGCTCACACCTTCCCATCCCTGACACTGCCCATGCCCGGCCCCCAGAGAGGAAGAAAAACATAATAATGTGGGAGTTTTCTGTGAGAAAACCATGGTCACCTTTTAACTATATCCCCCTCCCTGCCCCTTCGAAGTGAAAGAAACCTTTTCTGGCCTACGCTTAGACTCTACATATGTAGGCCAGCTGCTAAAAATAAAAATTTAAAAAGGCATTCATTTTGGATCTAGGTTAGCAGGGAAATATCTCTCCCCTAAATCCCCTGCCCGTGCCCCTACACTACAAAAGGGCCACGTTTCCCATGAAGCCCCGGCCACAGGGAACCCTGCTGTGTATGGTGGGCAGTGAGTCTGCTCCAAGCACAGCAGTGGATCCACCTCCCGTATTTCCCCCCCTCCCCGCCTCACTTTCTCTCCTCCCTCTCATTTACAGACACATCTCACAATGTAGCCTAGACCGACTTTAGAACTCTTATAATCCCCCTGCCTCCGCTGCCTGAGTACTAGGTTCACAGACTTATGCTGCCAGCTTTCTTTACAAGTCATCTGACCAGGTATATTAATTAGCTCATGGGAGATGGAGGCAGAGGACAAGAGAACTTTAATGCCAGCTCTGACTTTATAGTGAGTTAGAGGCCAGCTTGGGTTGTGTGATAGTTCAAATTGGAATGACTCCTATAGGTTCAGAGATGTGTTTTGTTTTGTTTTGTTTTTTGAGACAGGGTTTCTCTGTGTGTCTTTGGAGTCTGTCTTGGAACTCGCTCTGTAGACCAGGCTGACCATGAACTCACAGAGATCCACCTGCCTCTGCCTCTGGGATTAAAGGTCTGTGCCACCACTGTCCAGCCAGGTATAGAGATTTAAATGCTTGGTCATTAGTGAATGGCACTACTTGAAAGGGATTGAGGGTGTGGCCTTGTTAGAAGAAGTGTGGCACTGGAGGGTGGGCTTTGAGGTTTCAAAAGCTCAAGACAGGCCCAGTGTCTCTCTCTTCCTGCTGCGTTCAGATCCAGATGTAGAACTCTCTGCTACTATGTCTGCCTGCATGCAGCCATGCTCCCTACCATGAGGATAATGTAACTGAAACTGTAAGCAAGCCCCAACTAAATGCTTTCTTTTATGATTCATCATGGTCACGGTATCTCTTCACAGCAATGAAGCAATGTATATCACTCATTGTGAAAAAGGTCACTTTTGAGCAAGATTATAGTCTGTATCAAGAAGAAACAGATGTAGAACTGGAATGTAGATGTGGAACATTATGTGCAATAGGGTGAGTGGTGTGGTTCAGTGGTAGGACACCTGCCTAGAATTCCCCAGTGAGGGGCTGGGGTGTGGCTCAGTGGTAGAGCACCTGCCTAGAATCCCCCAGTGAGGGGCTGGGGTGTGGCTCAGTGGTAGAGCACCTGCCTAGAATCCCCCAGTGCGGTTCAGCAATAAAGTACTTGCCTAATATGTACAAGGCTTGGGCTTCAGCAGCAGCAGTTGCACCTCTCCCCCTCTCTCTTTATCTCCCCCCACATGTCTTTTAGGATAGGATCCCCCCCATAGCATTTAAAATGTGCAATATTCCAAGGTTGGAAAACAAGACTTGCCATAGCATTATCTCCTAACACCATAAATCTTGGGTGAAAACTGAAATAACTGTAAGGGAGACAGCCAGTATTTGGCTCCAGTGCTTAAAAGAAACACAACACATTTCAGAACATTTAAACCACTCACATACAGGCAGAGGCAGGGAGGGACTTGGCAGTGGCCTGGCTGGGAGTGTTGGGGGGATGGCGAGTGGCTGCCTGTGGGGATAAATTTCTGCTCGGGCAAAGAGCGGTTCTAGGTAGATGGTGATGGCCTGCACACCCTGTGGCTGGGCTCGTTTCTCAGAGCCAGGCTTCTCACAATACTGGAAATGGTTGGTTCTGTGTTGTGTGCATCTCACTATAATGAATAAATGAGGACTGCAGTAGTTCATTAACGGCAGGAAGGGGAGGCCCCTTCACACAGCAATAGGACAAAGTGTATGAAGAGCCTCTATGTCTAAGAGGCACCGAGAGGGACAGGCACCAAGCACAGCCCTCCCTCGTATTCAGAACCAGGTCACCACCTCTTCTCCAAAGATCCCTGAGCTGCTCAACTGTGCACATGAGCCCGGGATGCATGTACAACCCACAAGTCTCCACAGGCCACAGGGGGGAATATAAAGGTGGCCTTGGAAGGGCAATGATGTCACTGAGGAGCCATGCTCAAGGTGAGCCAAGAGGGAGGGGGAAGACACTAAGTGTAAGACTCCAGCTATGAGAACAAAGAACTAGCTTTCAGCTCCGAATCGCAGAGCTGAGATGGTGGCACCAAAGACAGCAAGAGAGATAAGCAGACACAGTTTGGGAAGGACAGGGACACTGACAAAATGACATTCATGCTCACAGGTAGCAGGGCTTGTATATGCACCTATATAAAGGTACACTATGAATGTGTGTATATATGAACATGCAGTGTGTGTGTGTATGCATGTATGTGTATGCATATGTGTGCACTGCATGAATGTATGTACTATGAACATGTGCCACAAATGTGTGTGTTCTTATGAATGTGCACATATATGAATGCATGCCATATTTGTGCATATGTATCTGTATGTACGTGTGCATGTGTGCAAGTGTATCAGTGTGTGGTATGTGTATATGAGCATTACTGCCACCCCCTGTGGGAGCCATGCACTCGTGTCTGTGTTTGTATGTGAGCATGCATGCCCCAAGCCTGCATAATGCTAAACAGAGATGGCCTGTCAGCTGCCCAGGGAGAAGCAGATGTGGGCTGGTTGCAGGTGCTCACAGGAGGCTGCAAGCAGCAGAACTACTGACCTAGGATGGAGACTTTGCTGAGGAATTCCTCATACATCTTGCGTTTCCTCAGCGTGCTCCCCTGTGAAAGGAAAAGCAGAACAAAGAAGGTGGGTCTTCAGTCTCAGTTGGTCTGTCAATGCTTGCAGATTTCTCTCAGTGACTAATCTCTTCAGAGGAAACCAGACAAGCAAGTCTATATGAGGCTCCGTCTCTATTTCCTGCTCTTCACCTCCTGTGTCTTCTGAAGCAGCTTCCAGCACCACCAGCAGACCCGGTGGTCCAACCCTGTGCAAGCCACCCCAGTGAATGGGACCACGAGGTTTGAAGTTTCCAAAGGTGGACACAGCTCTGCTAGACTCTAACCTGTAATCCTCTTGCCTCAGTACCCTGACTTGAATTACAAGTATGCACCATGGAGATGCACCCTTACAAAGCCTTGAGGTTTCTGGACAGTTTGTCAGGACATCCAGCCACCCAGTGGCCTCGCAGCTACCACAGATGCTCATACGCTCTGCTTGGCCACTGACGAGATGACACAGATGTCCTAGAGGAGCTTGCTCTGCTTCCCGTTGCAGCAGCTGGGACTCTCCTATTCCTGAGGTCAATACCAATCCCTGCTACTGCAGCCCTCCCACTGTCTTCTCACTACGATGCACATTGGAAGATGTCTGGGAAGGAGAGATGGATCAGACATGAGAGACAGGACTGAAACAGAGACCTGGAAATGCCTGAGGCTCTCCCTGAAGCAGGTCTTTAGAGGGGAATGACTCAGCCTCGCCTAAGAGACTGGCAATCTCAGTCCTTACATAGGGTGGCATTTATAATATAGACGTCTGTTAGGGGGCCTGACACTATGCTCTGAACACACCATCACAATCTGCAGTAGCCCCACGCGGGGCGGGGAGAGGGCAGAAATGGAGGGACCAGCACATTGCATGCTCAGAGCAGAAGCTTCAGGTGTTAAGAATAAGTTAAAGCCAGACAGACATTCTGCCCCTCTCACACTAACAGTGACAAACACTGTTCTGTGGCTCTACTCTCTAGCAGCAGGTTCGGTTGGGCATAAAGGATATGCGTATCTCTGTCAACTTGGCTCCTTGTGAGTGGCTCCGTCACATCGGAAATAAGGATTGCAACAGGAACCCTCTCCACACAGGGTGTGGGGGTAGACCACGGACCTGAACTCTGAGTCATTAGCCGTTACTCAGTGTAGCCCTGCTGAGGGAAAAAAAGGACTCTCAGGAGAAGGACTGGACTGAAGGCACGTGGCAGTCGATGCCAGTCCCTGGAAAGCTATGACAAAAATGTGAGTGGCAGGGAAGTGAGGAGGAAGGGCCCTTGAGGCTCCAGGGCATACAACAACTTCCACAGGGCCAGATCATGGGGTTCTCCTTAGCTATGCACGAGGTCAGCCTTTGCTGGCTTCAAGACACACAACATTCCTGGCTCAACTCCTGAGCTCTCAGCATCTACAACACAGACTAAAGGGGCTGATATGAGCTTCACACTTTCAGAAAGAATATGAAGCCTACTGTGGCTACCACTTGAGCCCCACACAACAGGACCACACATGGCCAGACTAAGTTTCTGAGGGGATGGACACTTCAATGCAGGGGAATAAGAGTAAATCTGGGTGTACTTTTCATGTCACTAGTCCTGGGGAAATGAGATTTTAAAATCCTTTGTTATAAGTACAGAGACTCAATATCTCTTAAGTTGTTGCTACTTAAGGTAATGGTGGTGATAGTGTTGTTGACAGTGATGATGATAGTGGTGTTGATGATGATGATGATGATGATGATGATGATGATGATGAAGGTGGTGGTGGTGATGGTTTTGGTAATAAGGATAATGACAGTGATGGTGGTAGTGGTAGTGATGATGATGTTGAGGTGATAATGATGCTATTGATAGGCACAAGGGTAGTGGTGATGATGGTGGCAGTGATAGTGATGGTAATAATGATGCTGGTGATGATGACAGTGGTGATGGTGCTGATTGATAGTAAAGATGATGGTGTGAATCTTACTGAGTAACCTGAGGAGGGCTAAAAGAGGGTCAGCACACTGTCTTTCCATCACTGCCCATGCTCTGGGACAATCATATCCTCTGCAAGGTCTCAGGTTCTCCATTGGGTCCGTGATCTGGCCACTGTCTCTAACCTGGGCCCCCCTTCTCCCTCTGTGACATCAAACCACTGCCTCAGCTTGGAAGGTTCTGTTTCCTGTTCTGACACAGGGGGCCATCTGCCTGAGACAAAACTCTAATCATCAGAAATGGGATGAGTCACTTTGCAGGTAAGTACTGATAGGCACCAGCCTCCTGCACCCCAGCCACTCCAGGAGCATTCTCTTCTCAGAAGGTGGCAAGACAATGCCCCTGGCATAGCCATTAATGCTCCCCCCAGTTCTGAGAGATTATTGTTGTATCTCTACTGGACTGGAAACAGAGGCCCAAAGAAGATAATGGCTTGGTTCCTGTCTAATAAGTTGGAGGCTGAAACTGCTGTCCTAGAGCTCTCTATGTAGATCAAGCTGGCTGCTAACAGAGACCCGCCCGCCTCTGCTTCCTGAAGGTATGCACCACCACACCCAGCTTCCTTTCTTTCCTCTGTTGAAGTATAGTTTCATTCTGTGGTCCACACTAGCCTGGAACTCACTATATAGTTCAGACTGACCTAGAACCTATGATCCTGTCTCAGCCTCCCAAGTGCCAAGACTACAAGCATGAGCTCACACAGAATGCCATACTGCATTCTCCCCACTTGGCATCTTTGCTCCTGTGGGGACAGAAGCTGTGTCCACGAAGCCACTGCTATGTGTTGTACCATGTGGTCAACCTTCATCCTCACCCTGGATTGGGGAAATCACACACCCATGATCAGGCATGGGGCTGGCACAAAGCAGAGCTAAGGTGGTCCGGTCTGTTAGATGTCATAATCACAGTATCTTCACCTTCCCACGCTCTGGTCAGGCTGAGCAGCCAGCAGCAGCTGTGCAGGTAGCTTTCAGACAGGCTTCCGTGCATGCAATATGGAGAGGGCTCAATGCCATATGAGATATGCACGGGGGGGGGGGGGCGGCCAGCTGCCATGGATATCTCCTCCCTGGATGCCTGGCAGCCAATGACAGAGACAGCTCACTGCTCTCTCTGCAGCCCAGTGCCCTTTGGGACACTCATAGTGTGATCTCCACGGCTGGGCACCTCTTAGAGACATGAGTACCCACAGTCCTGTGAAAAGCATGATGAGCCAAGAGAAAAATCTATCCCTGAATAATCATGTACCAACAGCAGAAGGGTGATGCCCATGACTGAAACGCAGAGGCATCAGCAGCCAGCAGGGCTCTTACCAGCCAGGCCCTGCCACTCTGATTTGAGGACCCTAGAAGGTAGAATGGAAAACCCAGGAAATCCACACTTGAAAACCAAATAGGTGTCAAAGGAGAAACCAGCCTTGTATAACATTTGGGGGGGATGGAGGAGAAGAACAATGGGGTCACGGAGAAGGGGTTGGGAAAAGCACAGGGTCAAGCAAGGACAGTGCCATGGGATTCTGGGGAACACACTGAGGTGGTAGGTGCCATTTCCAAGTTTCAGAGGCCTCCAGGAGCAGCAGGTGACTATAAATTGGTGTAGAGATACACACAGAGCTTGGAGAGGCAGTCCACCAGCATATCCAGTGCCCCTTAACTGGTGACAAGTCTGGGGGAGGTTGGAGGCTGATTTTGAGCTTGAGCCATCAGAAGGCCTAGGCTCAGCCCTCCGTTCTCATTGTCCTCTTGAGTTCTATTTCCTCATCTGTTCAATGGAAATACTAAAACCTGCCCCAAAGGTCCCCAAGGACACTGGCACAGAACACAGAGACAGTGCTCCAGTTCTATCCCCAACCTTGGGTCCCATCTTCCCCATCAGATCTGGTTCAGACCAGCACTGATAAGGCTGTGAAGTCCCAGTCTTAGAAACCCAGAGTCACAAGGCCCCAAGCTCTCTGTTTCCTAGGAAAAGTCCTGTGATGGCTAACCCTGATGGTAAGTGTGTAGACAAACTTCTGGGCATGTCTGTTAGGGAACTTCCAGTTTGGGTTATTAGAAGGACCCACCCTTAGACATGGGAGGACTCATCCTAAACCTGGGAGAACCCACCACTATTCCATGGGCTGGGGTCCTGAACTGAGTACAAAGAAGAAAGCAAGTGGAGAGTCATCTCTCTCTCTCTGCTTCCTGACTGTGGATGCCATGTGACCAGCTGCCTTATTCTTCTGTCACCATGAAGGACTGCACTTAAAGCTATGAGCCACAATAAACTTTCCCTCCCTTAAGTTGCTTTGGTCAAGTACTTTTTTCAGAGCAATGAGAAAAATAACTAATTCAATTCCCAGCAGGGCTAGGAACTCAATGTACAGCAGGGCAGGGAGAACCTCATTAGATTTTCCTCAGCTATCCAGACCTTGACAGTTAGACGGTGGTTCTGCCAGCAGAGACTGGAACAAGTCTGTTTCCATGACAACAAGATGGCACAATAGGAAAGCCAGTGTCCAGACTCTTGTGATGCAGAACTGTTGTGTCTGCTGATGGGTACAGGTCAGGATGGCTGCGGTGGCAGTGGCCTGCTCAGTGACCTGGCTCAAGCCATTTTAATCCCATCCAGCCCTAAAAAAAAGGCATCTCTTTTGAAAATGTGTAGTCCCCACTGGCTACCCAGCAATTAAGCTCTCCCAGTGGAACGTAGGCAGGTTGTGACCCAGGAACCTCAGATGCTAATGTTGGTGCAGCGGCAGGATGATGCTGAAAATGTTGTGGGGCCTAGGGAAGTGGTCAGGCAGCAGGTGAAGCCAGCCTGCTTTGTTCCTACACTGAGCAGTCATCTGCTAAGCCTCTTGGTGACACAGGAGACCTCCACTTTAGCAGGCTTTACAGCAGGCAAGACAGCAAACCCAAGATGGCTCCAATGGGACTCAGCCTAAGAACCTGCCTGCAGAGGCTAGCTGCCTGCTTGCTACAGGGCCTCGATCTGTGTGTCCCCATGACACCTGCAGCACACCTTGGAATGGTTAGTATTGATTGCCAACATGACAGAATATAGAATCACCAGGAAGGGAGTGTCAGTGAAGGATGATCTTGGTGTCGGTTACTCTGTGGGCACGTCTGCGGGAGATTGTCTTGATTGTGTCAATGGAGCTGGGAATGGCCACCTGGAATGTGGGCAGCACCATTTGTTAGTCCTGAACAGAAGGCGAAGGAGAACAAACTGAATACTGGATTCTAGTACCTAGAGAACACTCGTTGGCTGTGGCTGGGATGTGACCAGTTGCCTCTGGCTCTTACTGCTGTGACCTCTCTGCCATGATGGATGGGGTCTTGGAACTGTGAGCCAAAACAAGCCCTTTCTTCCCTAAGTTCCTTTTGTTGGAGCATTTTTCACGTCACTAGGAAAGGAAACCTCAGCCAAGATCCCAACCAGATTTCAATAGCAGGGGCCTGGAGACACAGAAGGCCAGAGCACATGCTCGCTTCCCAAAGACCCTGACACACACACACACACACACACACACACACACACACACACACACACACACACACACACACACGTGCACTCACAGTACTGGAACCACACCCTATTCATGGTGAACTCTGCCTACCCCATGGTTCAGAAGAACTGGAACCAGGGATGCAAATGCAGCTCCCAGCACAGCCTGTCCTAGTCAGGCCACCTATGCTACCCAGGACAAAGAGCTGGCCCTGACTGAAGTTTCTCTATCACTTGAAGCCTCCAACCACATACCTCACCCCACCCCCACCCCTGCACTGCACCATGAGCAACAGCTGAGAACAAGGTTCCCAGGCACTTTCGTGAGTGAGGTTTCTCAATGCCTTGGAGTTCTAACTGTGGGTAAGGGTGGAGGGGGTCATCTACTCACTGGCTGTGAGTCACTGGGTGGCTCTAAACTCACCTCAGAAACTCTCCAGATGTTGCAGGTGTCACACCACCTATACAATGAAGTGGAGGGTGCCTGGTTCTTGTGGAGATGGCTTAGAGAGTCAGTAAGGATGTGGGTCCTTCAGAGTCAGTGGCATTAGACCCACATCTGCTTAGGACACAAGTTCCCTGGGATTCAGAACACGGTCATAGAGAGACCTCCAAAAACCCCAGTATGACCTCTCCTACACAATTTGATTTTGTATATGCAAATTTCCCCCCTTTGGAGACAGGATTTCACATAATCCAGGCTGGCCTCAAAGTTGCTATGCAGCCAAGGATGATACTGGATGTAGGAGTTCACCCGCAGAGTACTGGATCACTGTGCCTGGTTTAATCAGTGCTGGACATGGACGCCAGGGCTTTCTGCACATCAGGGAGGCCTTCTACCAACTGAGTCACATCCAGCCCCTCTAATGGGAATTCCTAACTCATTAGCTGTAGACACAAGGTCCCCCCTCAAAAGGGGCAGATGAACAGAGGGCCCAGGGATTAAATAAAAGGAAAGAAACTCATGGACTATTAGTCTCTCTTGAGCCTACAGGTGACAATGCACCCCCTAACTCTGCCCAGCATTAGGCAAAAAGCAGCAAGGAGACACTTAGGAAACTTCCAAATTAGAAGCCACTGAATTCCAACTTGAATGTGGAGTCTGAGCTGACCTTGTGGGTTGTAACCAACTCCCTCGGGACACTGGTGACTCTTCATTTTCTGTGTCTCCTCCTGTGAGTCCCAGCTAAAGCAGGAGCCCTCAGAGGGGTGATCTGGATGTATCCAAGGCTGCCCAGATGGGGGATGGGTGTGGACAGGATCCAAATTCCCCACAAGAGCTCTGCCGATTCTGGAGCCCAAATGCGCTATTCTTAGTGTCTGGGGATCCGAAATTAACCCAGAGAAAGCACCAGTTCCCTCTGCGATTTGAGAGCATTCCTGAATATAAAGTCCTGACCACAAAAGTCCCACAGTCAGCAATGACACAGCATAGACGAGACAGTAGAGAGACAGTTGCTAGTGCAACTCCAAGCCAGGTGTGCTCAGAGGGGATGGGACTGTGTCGTCCTCTCGCAGGGAGGGAGGAGCCCCTGTTGCACCCTCCTGCTGGGACAGGCAGGTCCCTGCAGATGGAGAACATGTTGGAGACAAAAGACTACAGTGTTGCGCCGTCTGTTCTGTGTCCTTGTGCCCACAGCAGTACGGGAGCTCTGACGTGCCGAGCATGCTAAGCCCTGGGGACAGCTGCCTTCCAAGACGGTGCTGATCCTACAGAAGAACTGGCATCCCCTCAAGACCACAGCAGGATGTGTCCTCTGTACCTCAGTGACCGAGGACGCAAGCTCTACCCTGAGCTATTCTGGGGAACATTCTAGAACATCTGATCCCACGGCCACTCTCAGTTCTCCTTGGGATGCCCAGTCTTGAGTTCTAGTCTGTCCCAGATGCTTCTGTGACTCCAGGAGCTCTGTGTCAGAGATCAGGAGTGTGGGCTCCAGAGGAGGCTGTGGGGCCTCGGGATGGAGCACTCCTGACTCTTTAGGCTGAAACCCTCACTCTCTTCTCATGGTGTTCCACAAACAGGCCCCTGTGCTCCAAGCAGCAGCCACACCAAGGCCTTTGCACTCTCTGTCCCCGTGATGCCTTTTAGCCTTTGCCCTAATGTCACCTTGGAGGGACCCTGGGTTTTATTCTCCAAGTGACCTTGTAGTCCTAGATGGTAGGGCTGGAGATCCAGCCATTACAACCACAGTTTAGAGTATCTGGAGAGAGAGAAAGGGGGCATGCAATAGAGACATTTTCCAGCCATCTAACTGTTTTAAAGAGCTTCCAAAACCTCTTCTGATATTTTTCCCTCATGTCAAGGGCTGTGTCTACCATGCAGACATCGTGACCTGGGGCCTGGGTCTCTGGTGGTATAGACTCCACGACCATCCTCCTCCCCTCACAAAGCCTCCTGGCCAGGGCTCTACTCACCATGAGGATGCGCCTGTAGCTGTCACGGTCGATGCCCCAGAGCTTGAGGTCTGTTTTGGCCTTCACGGTGGCTGCTCTGGGGGGTGCCGTAGATGAGGGCCAGCTCCCCAAAGCTTCCCCCCCTCACTGATGTTGGTAACCCATTCCCCGTTCACATATACCTTCAGAGAAAAGAAAAGAGGGTGGGTCACAAGGTGTGACATGTGGGTCACAATTGCTGCTTCCTCTATGGGGAATCCATAGCCCACCCCGGTGGGAAAGACAAGCACTTTGTAAGGTTCTTGAACCACTTCTACTCCCCTGCTCTGGAGGCAACCTGGGCTAGCCATGCTCCAAGGAGCTCCCATCCCACCCCACCCCATCCTACTCAGAGCCACACTGGGCAGCACACCACACTAAAGAACAGGTTGGGACCAGAGGCTAGAACGCAAAGTGTCGCAGCTACTTCCTGAGCAGTCTGCCCATCCAGGGATCACCTCTTAGTCTCTTTGAGCCCCAGTTTTCCCGACTGCACCCCAATAAGTTGTTCTACCATTACACATATACAAATCCAGAGGAATACCCTGCCTCTTGCCGTTCCCATTTACAAACTGCCTGTCCTCTCTGGCAATTCAGTGATCCCTCTGCCTGAGTATCTCTCTGACCCCCTTGTCCCGCCCCTGTGGGCACACACTGACTGTCCCCTTCTCCTCTGGACCTTTGCCACCAAGGCAAGCACCCAAGTCTTTTGGCCAGTGACCTAGTTGAGGCCCCGGCCAGGCACCACTACCAAGCTGCAGCGAGAAGGGGCCGGGACAAGATTCCCTTTCAGGCCGCACGGGCGACGCACCCTGCACAGTGTGTGCACTATGCATGGACCTTGCGCAGCCCACACCCAACCGGGACACAGAATGGGCAGATTGTTCATTCCCAGGGCGATTATGCAGCTCGGTTACTATAAATTGACACAATGCACGCTTTATCCCTCAGCGTCTCAATGAGCGTACAGAATCGTTCCCACTGCTAAACCGGGTGCGTACCCGAAGAATGGATTGTGATGAATCATGGAAGCAATTCTTATTGAAATCAATGTCTCATTATCCGGTAATAACTGAGGCACAGAGATTTCTGTCTGAAAGAGAATGCCTCGCAGGTGATGGTTGTAACTCCACGATGAAGTGAGCAAGGCATGGGGAAGGGCTGGCTAGCCACAAAGATGGGGGGGGCAGCAGCGGCTCCCAAAGGCAGGACTCTACCAAATGGGATACGTGCTCCTCCCACCTGTCCTGGCGGGTTCCCCAAAACCCAGAAGGAACTGGGATGTGGGGGAACAAAGAGGTGGCTACAGCTTGCCTTAAAAACCTTCAAAGAGGGTATCTGTCATACACCTGTCACCTCAGGCTGAGGCAGGTGGATGACAGGCTCCAGACCAGCCTGGGCTATAGAGTGAGGTCCTGCCTCCAAAACACAAAACAAAACAAAACTAGAGCCAAAAAGATCCACAAAAAATCTGAACACACTGCCCATCGAACGCTATAGGGAATGTGAAGGAGAAAAGAGGGGAGGGTAGAGATTTGACACTTCAGACGTGAGTTTACAGACATCAGAGCATAACCCCCCAGGACCTCACCTCATTTCCACATCCAAGAAAGGGTAGGACAGAGCCTTCCCCTCCCATCTCAGAGCTGGCACTGCCCCCTTGCCTATGCTTCTGCAGGAACCTATGCATGCAGAGTTAACTTGCAGGTTGGAAACCCCAGTAATCTGAACATGTAGCTCAGTAAGGATGCACATCCCTCTCAGGACCTCCTCAGTGTCACCTTCAGTCTGTCACTTAGCGCCTTTAGCCTCAGAGTGCTCATCCAGACTAGATGGGCTTGGGTTGTCACAACCACACGATGCTGCCAGGATCACTGGGGCTTTTTGTTTGTTTGTCTTGCTTTTTATGGTACTAGGGTTTGAACACAAGGCCTTGCACTCCAGCTCCTCACTGGGGGATTCTAGGCAGGTGCTTTATCATGGAGCCATGCATTGTCTCAGAAGTTTTCTTTTTTGCTGGGTTTTTCTGAGCCTTCTACCACCCAGCCTCTCTCTGAAGTATTCTAGACAAATACATACTACTGAGCCATATCCCCAACCTCTCCCCTTTTTGAGACAGACTTTTCCCTGAAGTCCATGCTGTCCCCTAACTTGGCAAAATTCTCCGGTTGCAGCCCCCAGAGACCTGGGATTACAGGCATGCACTACCACCCAGGCATCAGAAACATTCTTCATTTGAATGTGACTTCCTTGTTTGTCTCTGACAAAGGTCTGGGGCAGCATCTGTTGTGTCACAGGCACACCTGTTGGCTCAGCAGAAGCATGTGTTTCTGAAAGCACATCCCTAGAGGCTGCTCCGACCCCTCTGTCTCCATGTGTCATCTTGGGCCGAGTCATAAGTACAGATGCTCTTGGGGTTGGCAGAGGGGTATGCGGGACATGCAAGTCCCTGCTGGGGAGTTACTAGTAGGCTAGTCTCTCTCCTTACAGCATGGGGATCGAGGAAACCCCACAGTGACTACCCCAAGTAGGAAAAAGGACACAAAGCCACCTTCCTCAGAGCACTTGAGCCTCTGGGAAAACGACATCCCAGCTGAGCAACTCCCACACTTTATTCCTGAATGGAAGAACGAGTGTGACTGCCCTAGGACATGAGCAGGGACCCTCTGCAGTGACTACCCTCCCTCACCCCAGAGCCTCAAGCCCTAGAGGATCCCTCACAGTGTCAGAGGAAAGCATTGTGTCCCCCAGGGCCACCCGGAGGACAAAGGGCCATCCTTCTGTGCACACTGGCCTCTGTCACAGTTCCTCCACCCAGCTGGTACGCAAAGGGGCTACTCTTGTTTGGTTCCATTTTTTGTTTTTTTCTTCCTTTAAGAGAAAATGGTGGGAGGCCCCAACGGGCTACATTGTGCCACACTAGGAGCCAAGGGTCCCTCAGCTGAGCTCAGCCTTGGCCACTCCGTCCTGCTTGCCTTTCTCCTTCCTGCCTGTCCCTGTTAAGCCTCTGTTCAGTGAGTGGCCCTCTGACCCAGGCGCCTTCTCACCTCTAGGGACTCTGCAATAGAGGACAGATTCCCATCTGCAATGAAGCTTCCAAAGAGCAGAGACACAGGCCACAGGCAAATGCCACAGAGATACAAGTCTGGTGTGGTGGCTCATGTGTGCTGATCTTAGCCCTTGAGAAACTGAGTCTGGGGGACTGGGAACATAAGGCTAGCCTAGGCTACAGAGCCTCTGTCTAAAAAAGAAAACAACAAGGCTGAGGAGATGGTTCAGTTGATAAAGTGTTTGCCTTTCAAGCAGAATATATGAATTCAAGCCCCAGAACCCATGCCTCTGGGCACAGTGGCCTGGGTCTATAACCCCAAAGCTGGGGAGTGGGGGAGGACAGGGAGTGGGTAGAGATAGGCAAATCTCTGGGGCACATTGGCTGGCTATCCTACATAAACCAGTGAGTTCCAGCCTCGTGAGAGACTCTGTATTAACAAAGCAAGGTGGACTACTAGGATGACTCAACAGGTAAGTACTTGCCATGCAAGTCTGACAACCTGAGTTCGATCCCTGGAACTCACGTAAAGGTGAGAGGAGAGGACCGACTCCACAAAGTTGTCCTTTGACCTCCAGATATGCGTGATGTCAAAAGCACCCCCCACATCACACACATACACGTGCATGCACGCCTGCGCGTGCACGCGCGCGCACACATACACACACACGATATAATAAATAAAACTAAATTTACAAAACAAAGTGGATGGTACTTGAGGAATGATACCTGAAGTTGACCCTTAGCTTCCACACACATGGACACATGCACATCACACACATGTGCATGGACATACACACTAAGGAAAAAAAGGGAAACAAAAAAAAACCCCTCTGAATTCAGATCCCTGGGGTACCCTGAGCTCTGCATGTTTTTAGGGGACTCACCCCAAGCTTGTTCAGACTGTAGTGTGCCCAGAGGTAGCCAGAGGTGGATGGGTGGCAGAGGCTACCTGTGCTGCAAAGTCTTGGCAGAGTTGCCAAAGATCACTGGCTTTCTGGAGCACCAGGGAGCCCAGAGGTGCCCAGACTGGGGCAGGGCCAGTTCTGCCTCCCTTCCCAAGCATTTCAAGTCAAGTGGGCAAGACAGCAGTGGGGAAGTGCGGACGGGGATGGTCATTCCTGGTCTATGTCCCCAGACCACTTCTGGGTAATCATCCTGAGTGTGACCCTCTCTTGCTCTTCCTCATGTCTACATGCAGTTCCTAAGACAGGTCAGGTCAATGACTTCCGCATCCCAATGTGAACCCCCAGAGTGGAGTCACATGAGATTTGTAGGAGCCCAACAGTCCAGGGAGCTGCTAGCACCCAGCCTGTGTCACCCATCCCTACTAGAACAACACAACATCTGGGGTACCTAAAGATTGAACACTTTCAACTCTCCAGACACACTCACTGTCAGGCTACATTCAGCAACCCATGAGCTTAAGCAGGGCCACCAAGGACCTCAGGATGATGTGCTGTGTCGGTAAAATATGCTTGGGAGGTTCCAAGACCTTCAGGAAAATGGCACAGCCAGCTCTGCATTCAGCGAATGAGTAATGGAAACATAACAGCACTTTGGAAAGTGGGTCTCCAGGAGACATTCATACATCCATGTCCACTGCAGCTTACAGAGCCCATATGGATGCACATAAAGAATATGTGGTGTATGCCCACAGTGGAATACTTTTCAGCCTTAAAGAGAACACTCTGACACACATCATAGTGTGAATGGATGATAGACCTTGAGAATGTTTTGCTCAGCTACAAGCAGCCACAGGATAGATGATGTATGAAGTCACAAGGAGGCCCCCAGAAGAGTCAGGTTATTTTTAGATTTGTTTGTGCTTCGTGTGTATGGCTGTCTTGCCTGCATGTAAGACTGTGCAGGCAGAAGAAGGGGTATGATACCATGGAAACGAAGTTACAAATAGTTGTGAGCTGCCGTGTGGATGCTAGGAATCCAATCGAGGTCCTCTGGGAGAGTATCCAGTGCTCTTTAACCACTGAGCCATCTCTCCAACCCCAGGCGTCAGCTTTGTAGGGGTAGGAAATAGGAAGCGGAGAGTCAGGGGTTGGGGTGGGGCTATGGAGTGACTGATTAAAGGGGCCA